CAAAACACTAATGAGCCACACAGGAGCTCTGATAGCATAGTGCCTAAGGCATTTGACTGCTCACCAGAAGGCTGGTGGTTCAAACCCACCAGCCACTCCTCAGAAGGAAGATTGGGCAATCCTACTTCCGTAGTGATACTGCCTCGGAAACCCAAGGAGGGGTCGCTATGAGTTGGGGCCAACTCGACGGCAAACAAGAACAACAACAACAATGAGCCTCATGAACCACAGCCTCTACTACCATGAGACGAGAAGAACTAGATGGTGCCTGCTACCACTACTGACTACTCTGGTCACGATGACAATGGAGACTTCTGGTAAAATGATGGAATAGGCAGACAAGCTCCACAGACCATCTCTCTTCAACAAAATAAAACCAGTTGACAGTGATAGAGAAGATAACCCTGGAGCCCTGAGCTTTGAAAGGAAGTATAGAAAAGTGGATTGGGCACCAACTAGTGGAAAAACCTGAATGAAAACAGTGAATATGGAGACAGTTGGAGCAGTGGACTGTCAGCTACTCTGACATGACTGACAGCCTGAATATTTCCAAGTGGTGTTGGGACCTGAGAATTGACCTAAAGATCAGCCCTGGTCACCAATGGCTGCAGGGACAACTACCCTGGTAGCCTATGACTAGGAAGGAAAACAGCAAAGAGGGAGACAACTTGAGCTATGGACTTCCGGCAGTCCAGAGGGAACAGCCATTTTGATTGTTTACACGTGGTGGCAATTTTGGATATTTAAAGTGTCGAGGGTGCAACCATTTTGAATGCTTACAAGTGGTAGCCATTTTGGATTTTAAAGTGACAATATTCTCACTTGGATTCCAAGGACCTAAGAACAGGCTCTGTTTGCCAAGGATGGCGGGGAAATACAGGAGAAAGACAATGGGAAAGGAGACAGGTGGTGACTGTATAAGTGCTGCCAACTACCAAAGAGAAGAGCACAGCAATAGTACCCTGCTGTGTTAGACTGAGTTCTCTGGAGAAACAAAACTAATAAAGCTTATAGAGATAGAGAAATTTATCTTAGGAAAATGGCTCACACACTTAGAGAAGCTGGCAAGTCCCAAATTCTTGGATTAAACGTCAAGCTGGAGGCTTTTCCTGACTCACACAGCTGCAGGGGCTGAGGAGCTCAAGGTTGGCGGTAGTATACTGGCTGTTGACTCCAAGGAATGACAAATCCAAGATCTCCAAGACAAATGGTGGATTGTTCACTCATGGACTGTTGTAGACATAATCCCAATCCACAGAAGAGGGTCTCTTTTCCCAGGATGTCCATAAATATACTGGAAGCAGGCCACACCCCTAGGGAAACTCCCTTTCAATGGACTGGCTGCTCAAAACATATACATATGATCCCATCATTGAAACAACCCACAACACAATTGCTTAAACCACACATAATGGTGGTCCAGCCAAGTTGACACACAGCTCCAACTATCACAACTGCTTATGTAAATAACATACAAAGAAAACGAAAATCATGGGCAAGTTACTCCAATATACAATCACCAATTAAATATAAAACACATAAACGTCACAATGCCTCAGAGACAACAGAGTATCACAGTCCACACAAAGAAGCAAGATAAAGCAGGAAAAACACAGGACCAGGATACAGACCCAAAACACATCTCTGAGGAAGACGCAACACTGGAACTCCCTGTAAGGAATTCTAAAGAATTGTATTTAGGTATCGTCAACGAATTGAGAGAGAGATCAAGAAGGCAAATACCAAAAAAAAATGAGGAAAACACAGAGAAAACCCTAGAACAATTTCAAAAGAAAATACAAGAACAAAATGACAAAATAAATGAAAACTTAGAAATGATACAAAATCTATAGACAGAAATCCAGAAGATTAATACTAAATTCTCAGAAATAAATAACTCATTGAATGGGCAAAGGAGCAGAATTTAATCAATGGAAGACAGAATTAGTGAGATTGAAGGCAAACACCTCAATACTTCTTTGGAAAGGGAAAAATCAGAAAAAAGATCAAAACAAAATGAAGAAAGCCTAAGGTTCATATGTTGTTATTGTTAGGTGCCGTCGAGTCATTTCCGACTCATAGCGACCCCATGCACAGCAGAACGAAACACTGCCCGATCCCATGCCAGCTCCACAATCCCTGCTATACTTGAGCCCATCATCGCAGCCACCGTGTCAATCCATCTCATTGAAGGCCTCCCCCTCTTTCGTCAACCCTCCACCCTACCAAGCATGACATCCTTCTCCAAGGAATGGTCCCTTCTGACAAAATGACCAAAATAGGTGAGATGAAGTCTGGCCATTCTCGCTTCCAAGGAGCATTTCGGGTGCACTTCCTCCAGGACAGATCGTTCATATGGGATACCATCAAAAGGAATAACCTACATGTAATCAGAATTCCAGAACAGGAAGAGACTAATAAAACCACAAAAAAAAATTGTCTAAGATTGGCACAACATGGTCCACAAAGAAAATTTCTACATCCTACCTTGGTGAGTAGCGACTAGGTCTTAAAAGTTTGTAAATGGCCATCAACAGTACAACTATTGGTCTCTCCTCATCCAGAGCAAAGAAGAGTGAAGAAAATCAAAGATGCATGGAAACAATTAGTCCAAAGAACTCATGCACCAGGTGAATCTCAGTCTCCATAACTGTGAGACCAGAAGAATTAGATGGTGTCTGGCTACCACTACAACCACTGCTCTGAAAGGGATCACCACAGAAGGTCCTGGATAGAATAGGAGAAAATATGGAACAAAACTCAAAATCATAAAAAAGATCGGGTTTACTGGTCAGAAAGAGACTGCTAGAACCCCTAAAACTATGGCCATTAGTTACCCTTCAAGCTGTAACTGAAGTCACCCCAGTCTTTCAATTTTCAGCCAAACAACAGACAGGTCTATAAGGTGAACAATAACACCAGAGAGGTATGCACTCCTTAAAACAATCAACTATTCACTATCAAAGGGCAGCAATCGGCCAGAGACAGAATTCAGAAGCCAAGAAGAGTTAGGGAAGAAGGATGAATGGAAACAGGAAACACAGGAGGAAGTGAGATGAGCGCTATTACACTGTGGGGACTGTAATCAATGGCATGAAACAAAATATATATGAATTGTTGAATGGAAAACTGATTTGTCTGTAAATTTTCACCCAAATCCTAGTTGTTGTTGTTATGTGCCGTTAACTAGGACCTGACTCATAGTGACCCCTCCTTGGGTTTCCGAGGCAGTATCACTATGGAAGTAAATGAAAAAAAATACAGATGAAGGAACATGAATCAGCTCAGAAAGGCTAACAAATTCTTCCAAAATTGCATAGCTAGTAAGTGGCTAGTAAAACAAAAGAAGAACTGAGATTTGCTTACCTCGAAAGCTCATCTTCTTTCTCCTGCAATACACTGCCTAAAGTTCAATTAATGGATATTCTATCAGCAAATTCAGATCAAATTCAAGAAACTTTTGCTACTAGATAATTTGAAAATTCTACTTATAATCACTACAAATGTACTCAAGATAGTTAAAGCAAATGAATGTGAACAAATTAAAAGAAATCAGAGAAGTAGCTTGATATAAACTAAATCAGCTATGTCAGGTCCTGTATTCAGTTCTCAAAAGGACTGGGTGCCTGTTTGCAGTTCCCAGAATAGGCCAGCATCCACAGTATTCCTCAGTCCAACTTGAATAACAATCAGGGGAGGAAAAAGAACAGCTCAGGTAGACTTTTCAATCTGTGTCTTTCTGGAATGATGATCCTATGCCACCTACAGTTTATCTCTGACTTTTACCTCATCCACTTTGGTCATGCTGAGTTTGTTTTCCTGACTTACTTTGATTAAATTCTTGGCACACAAAACCTGACAATAAATATCTGTTCTTTCCCTTTTGATTTACCTAAACAGAACCTGAAGTTCTTCTTCCTGCACTGGTTTTTTATTTTGTTTCTTTTTCCTGTCAATAACCTACCATCAGTTGAACATTCTTATTAGATCTCTCAATAGGCTCTTTAGCACTTTCCCTTGGATATCCACCATTATAACCACCTTATCCTAGAAGTACAGGAGCAGTGGTAGAACTCTTGCCTTCCATGCAGAAGACCAGGGTTTGATTCCTAGCCAATGCACCTGATGCACAGCTACCACATGTCTGTCAACGCAATCCCGTGTGTTGGTATGATGGTGAACAGGTGTCAGTACACCTTCCAACTGAAAACGGACTAGGAAGAAAAGCTTGGAAATCTTCCAAAAACCAGCCAATGGAAACTCTATGGAGGACAGTGGTCCAAAACTCAACCAATTGTGGAGATGGTGCAAAATGGGGCATCATTTTGTTATTATACAGGGGTCGCCATCAGTCAGGGGCCAAGTCAACGGCAGATAACAGCAACAACAAGCCTTGATCCACAGGGAAAGTGGGAAATGATGGTGAATCAAAGCAGAACTACTGCTTTGTGAGGGGCCAGACTGGAGAAATGGGGTCATGCTAAGCAAAGTATTCAGAAGTTACTTGCATGCCTATGTGAAATGAAAGCTTGTTATCAAGAAACAAATGGGAAAAGTACAAAGAAATATTTTCAATTCATAAAATTTTCCTTGGCTCCCAATACTGAAAGCCAATGATTCATAGGTTTCAAATCATTGGGAAAAGGTAGCTAAATTATCCAGACATAACTGCTAGTGAACCTGTTACATCATCCTACTTATTAGTTACCTAGTGCATTCACACAATGTAAAGCCAGGAAAATCTCATGACACCAAGTAAGCATTAACTTGCTTCCTCTGTAAGAGGTTTCAGGACATTCCCCTGCTCTAATCATTTCTGCCTCAAATGTTTCTAAGAGTCAGATACTGTACATTACCCTGCAAAGCTACTGTGAACAGCAAATGGTGGTGTGGAGGCAAACAAGATGTTTATCTTAAAAAGAGAAGGGAAAATTCATACCAGAAGGAGCATTAAAAGTTCTCATACCTCACAAGAAAACAGACATTTCTAACATCCTTACCAGTAAACAACATCCAGTGGTGCAAAGTAATTTTTCATTATCAGGTCAGCAAAATAAGCTTCTGTCTCCCGGCAGGCAGTTCCATTTCCAATCACCACTGTACTGCAACTTCAAGGGAAAAACAGGATGAGAAACTGGACAAGCTCAAGTCAATTTTTGAAATCAACCAAGAGAAAATGTACAGAATACACAAATATTATTATGAGATGCTCTTATTCTTTCATATGTCAAAACAGCCTCTCCACTGTTTCACAGGGGATATCTAGGTTTACATACAGTAAAAGACACTACCACAGGTAAAACCTCTGCATTTGATACAGGAAACAGTAGAAAAATAATTTATGGTCACACAATCTAAAGAACAGTTAGCTTTCTTCTCATGTAAAAGGAACCAAAATTAGAAAATCAGATAGCAGTAAGTAAACTCTGGAGCATTCTAAACCATAGTAAAGACATAAGATTGAATATATGACATGTTGTCAAATAATTTCTGAGGCTTCTAACTATTACCACATCCATTCCTCAGCCCCATGTGGGGAAAGGGGAGGAAGCTCAAACAGAGAAATTAAATGCTCACACTCATATTACCACTTCTGTTTAGTTATGGTGGTATGGAGCATGGAGTAGCACTCCTCTGGAATCTCCATGTTGACAAGGTGCCTTCTTTCTCTCCAAGGCACTTCTGTTAATCCCTCCCTCTAAACCCAGGGCTTCAAAGGTCTCTCTAATTGGCTGAGCCACAGAGGTACACAAAACATTAGTCATTTTCATACTTGAAATTCAGCAAAAGTCTCTTTATTTTCTCTGCCTCTCGAAAGCCTTGTCCAGAATGCAAGTAGACTACATCAGTATGAAGTATCTGACCTTAGAAAAAAATGAACAGAATAAGCCATTTTCTAAGAAATTACAAAACAAAACACACCAGTGATGTAATCAGACAAGTTGTAACAGAAAAGGGAACTAGTTTAGCTATCTTTTTGAATACTGTCTGAATCATGCATATTCAGTAAATCAGAGTATCCCTAAGCACTCTGAAAATTTCTTACATTCAAACTCAAAAAGACTCTATTTTGCTACATGAAACCAAGATAAACTGGATAATAAGCCATAATAGCTAAAAGAGAAAAAGTACTTAATAATATCAAATTTTAATAATAATAAAAGCTAACATTTACTGGAGAGTTATTATATGAGATACTGTTGTGATACCTTATTTCTTGATTTGAGAAACACATATATGAGTTTGTTCACCTTAGGGGAACTGAGTTGCATATATATGAATATATATGAATTGTGAACTTTTCTGTTTCATACCATATTTCAGTTTAAAAAAAATTAATTTGAGGATAACCACCTAAAGCATGTAAATGAATAAGCTAAGTTACAAATTTATAAAGTTAGAGAAAGAATAATGGAATAATCCCAAAGCAGAAGGAAGAAAATCCTAAAGTTAAAAGCAGAAATTAATGAAACGGAGAAAAAATGCAAAAGAAAGGATCAACAAAGTTAATTCTTAGAAATACTTATAAGTAAAACACACTTTCAACAATGTCAGTCGAGAAACAGAAAAGCTAGACAGCACACACAAATAATGTGAGAACAGGAAAGGGACATAACTAAAGATTCAGCAAAGAAAAAAAAGAGACAGAAAACATCTTTAACATTTTTATGGCAACTTTATGACAATTTAGATTAAGTGTTTGAATAGATAAATTCCTTAAAATATCTTATTTACTAAACAAACTAAAAAAGAAAAATATATATTAAAAATTTGTAAGAATTATCTTATAATCAACATAATAATTGTAGTAACCCACTACCCACTACCCACTGCCATCGAGGCCACTGACTCATAGCAACCCCCACTGGGTTTCTGAGGCTGTAAATCTTTATGGAAGTAGACTGCCCCATGTTCCTTCCCTGGAATGGCTGATGGGTTTGAACTGACAACCTTCTGGTTAGCAGTCAAATGCCTTAGGGATTGTGCCACCAGAGCTCCTTAATAACTATAGTAGTTGTTAAAAATCAACTCCTCACTGCTCGTGCGGGAAAAAAGTCAATTTCAACCAAAAGATACTAGTCCCAGATAGTTTTATAGGTAAACTATATAAAAATGTCAAGAAAAATGTAATTCTAATCTTGTGTAACTCTTTCAGAAAAGGGGTGGGGGAAATCTCAACTCACTGGATGATGATATAACTTTCACATCAAAAATGACAGACAGTGTAAGAAAGAAAAACTATATCACCACAACTACAACAAAAGAAACCAAGTATCTCCACAGAATTCAAAAAATCAGAAAGCAGGAACAACGCATTGATACATACTGAAGTGCAGTGAATTACTCAATAAGGCTCTTCTAGCCATGGTCTTTGTAACTTCTACCAGATAACTGGGTGGGACTATGCAAATGTGAGGTGCTTTTAGCCCATCAAGGGGACTGAATAGGTTGTTACTAATGTAAATAAGGTACATGGAACCCTGGGGGTGGTACTGTGCAAATAAGGTGTATGGAACCCTAACTTGGGCATTGGTCAGTTTTGCCATCTCACTAGACTTAAAATGAGCCATCCCAGAGATGGGAAAGAGACTCCTACTACCAAAAAGAAAGAAGAACCAGGAGTGGAACGCATCTTTGGACCTGATATTCCTGCACTGATAAAACAAGAAGCAGTTACAGAGAAGCCATGGTAGAGAAACCCTGGCAGCAGACACCAGCATGAGACAGAACAGTGGGCTTCCTGACCCATGGAGTGAGAAAGCTGAGTGTCTTCAGCTAGGAGGCTTGACAGCAGAGTGAGGTGCTCCCTGGGCACCTTCAGCATAGTGAAAAGAACTCTATAACACTAGCCAGAGAAAGGCACAGGCCAGGCCAAGAGGCATGACTGCATGCATGGCTGAGGGGAGGCTGTCCTGATCAAAGAATTATTTCTTACTGAACCTGATTGTAACCTGTTAGTTCCCTAATAAACCCCATAATCATGAGTAATGTCTGTAAATTCTTTGTGGCCACTGCAACAAACATTGAACCCAGGAGAAAAGTAGAGAGTGCTGTGGGAGGGATGGCTGGTGTCAAAACTGGGAAGACTGTTGGAGGGTGGGGACACATCTGACTTCCACTTCACAGGAATAAGCCTTGGGCTACTGACACTGATGGTGATTCTCTCAACCTTCCTGAAGGTAGAGGAGGTCAGATGATACTGCCCCCATAACTTCTTTGCAGAGAGATATATATAGGTGTGTGTGTGTGCGTGTGTGTGTGAGGCTACAAGTCCATATGTATGTATCTTCCATAGTCTGTTTTAGTAGGTAAGATTTTTCCAAGAATCTACCAATTTGGTAATTTCATTTAAGATTTATAATACCTATATAGTATAAGTATTTATGCAACAGGAAACAGAAACAAAAAGCGATGGAGTTACTAAGCAATGGCAGAAAGAAACTTATCCCAATTGCAACAGAAATGTAGAAAGAAATAAGGAGTAATAAAACATGTAAATATATAATTAAATAGGAAAAAAATACTGACTGAACAAAGCAATAAAAATGTCATATTTAAAATATATAGAGAAATAAAATGCATCACAATGATAAACAGAAGCTAATAGAAAAAACAGAGTTACAAAATTCTAAAGTCTACCCTCACGTAAACCTCACTATTTCCACTATGGCATAAATGATGTAATATATTGAAGGTCTTGATCAAAGAATAAAAGAAATATAAACTTTGATTTCCTTGTTCCCATAGCCCTGTAGGTTAAGAAAATAATTTTCTAATCCTTGAAAATAAGCATTTTTAAATCCTCATGAAATACAATAAAACCTATGATCAGCCAAATAATTTTTATGTAAAAAGGTGAAAGACTACTTACTGGTAGGAGAAATTATAGCTAATTTGCAACCATGTTTATAACCAGGATCCACTCCCATCAAGGTACGCCCTGGAACGGGACTTGTTAAAAGGAGCTGGCGAAGATTCCGTCCAAACATCATGACTGATTCTTTTTCTGCATCTGATGTTAGTTTGGCTCTTTGCAAATAGAAAAGAGAAAAATAGAGTACTTAGTTTTCCTTTCAGTCAAATTTCTTTCCAGAAAATGTGAAAAATTCATTTTGTGCAGTTTTTCCCAACAGGAGCATTTATTTTGACAAAATTCCTTAAAAGGAAAAAACCTTATACAAAAATTACAGAGTCCATTCTATCCTAGTCAAGTAATCAAATGATTTAAAGCTAAATGGCAGCACTAGGATTGGAGAAAGATTCATTAACAACCTGAGGAATGCAGATGACACAACTTTGCTTGCTGAAAGTGAAGAAGATTTGAAGAATGTACTGATGATGATTAAAGACTACTACGTTCAGTATGGATTACACCTGAACATAAAGAAAACAAAAATCCCCACCACTGGACCAATAAGCAGCATCATGATAAATAGAGAAAAGATTAAAGTTGTCAAGAATTTCATTGTACTTGGATCCATAATCAATGCATAAGGAAGAAGCAGTCAAGAAATCAAAGGAAGTCTTGCATTGGGCAAATCTGCTGCAAAAGACCTCTTTAAAGTACTTAAGAGCAATAATGTCCTTTGAACACTAAAGTCAACCTGACTCAAGCCATGGCATTTTCAATAGCCTCATATGTACATGAGAGCTGGACAATGAATAAGGAACACCACAGAAGAAATGATGTATTTGAATTGTGGTGGTGGAAAAGAATATTGAATGAACCATGGAACCACAGAAAAACAAACAAATCTGTCCTGAAAAAAGTGCCGCTGGAATGTTCCTTAGAAACAAGAATAACCAGACCTCATGTCTTGTACGTTGGTCATGTTTCAGAATGTGTCAGTGCCTGGAGAAGGATATACTTGGAAAAGTGAAGAGTCAGTGAAAAAAGAAAAGACCCTCAACAAGATGAATTGACACAGTGGCTGCAATGACAGGCTCAAGCACAGCAAAAATTGTAATGACGGCACAGGACCAGGCAGTGTTTCATTCTTTTGTACACAGGGACACTATGAGTTGGAACCGACTTAATAACACCTAACAACATAAATTCTCCAAACCCACCTTCTTTCTGTTTTCTCTTTATATATAAAGCTTACATACATTAAATGTGGGTATGATAGAGAAATAGAGAGCATGTGCACAAGATTTGGATACCACTTGAGATGTTCAATGAAAATTTATCAATCATGAAATCAGAGTAACAAATAATTGAATCATATCATATCATCAAATCTTAGTTTTACACCTTCACGGGGGTGTGTGTGTGTGCGCGCGCGCGCGCGCGCGCATATGTATATGTCATCTCATTCTACACCATCTCCCACATCTATTGCCTTATCATACTCACAGTGATGTGAAGTGATGTGACTTAATGACAGATAATAACTAGTAAAGAGTCACGCTTCATGTAAATACCTTACCAGTGTTATCCAAATAAGTTACTAAAACCTTAAAAAAAAAAATAAACACTAGAATAAAAATATATGTATATAATGGGCTTAATGTATTTGGAAACAAAGCTTTTATAGAAACTCTTTACATATTATGTCCTGATATTCATGAGAATTTATAAAAAGCAGGTCTTCTCTATTAGACCACGTCAGGCCACTGACAAGGAAACTGAGAGTGAAATGTTGTTGTTGTTGTTGTTATGTGCCGTCGAGTCGGCCCCAACTCATAGCGACCCCTCCTTGGGTTTCCGAGGCAGTATCATTACAGAAGTAGGATTGCCCAACCTTCCTTCCGAGGAGTGGCTGGTGGGTTAGAACCGCCAGCCTTCTGGTTAGCAGTCAAGTGCTTTAGCCACTATGCTACCAGAGCTCCTAAGAGTGAAATAGCAATTCAAAATATATTTCACACCAGTGCTGAGAAAAAAATATCTACATATAAAAAGCACATGGTTGGTAATTTTCTGGCTTAATTCAGTTTCGTAATGCTTTTCTCTCGTGAGCACCAATGTTTCACTATCACCCTCAACCTCCCAAATGTAGTCAAACAAGATAAAAAGTATGATTACAGGTATTTCTAAATCTTCACATGGTTGGTAATTTTCTGGCTTAATTCAGTTTCGTAATGCTTTTCTCTCATGAGCACCAATGTTTCACTATCACCCTCAACCTCCCAAATGTAGTCAAACAAGATAAAAAGTATGATTACAGGTACTTCTAAATCTTCACATTCCTTTTTTTATTTATTATTAAGCGAAAATTTGTTATAAGCCTTATCTAAGGTACTATGATGAGTGTGAGACACAATGCTGAAAATATAATGTCACTGCCTATCTTGGTTCTCCAGTGCTACTATAACTGAAATACCACAAGCGGATGGCTTTACCAAACAAGAATTTACTCTCTTACAGTTTAGGAGGCTACATGTCCAAATTCAGACTCCTGGCTCTAGAGACTAGCTGAAGGCTACTTGATGATCCTGGGCTTTGCTCTGCCACTGATTCCAGGGCCACTGGATCTAGAGGCTTCCCGAACCTCATTCAGCTGCTGGCTGCTAAAGTGGACAAACCCATGGTCAAAACAATGTCACAATCCCAAAATCGGAAAGCAAACACAGCAAACCACTGGTTCAAGTTCAGGAACAATCCCAAGACTGGCAGGTAACATGGCAGGCCACTCAAATGAAGACTCAGCCAAATGCAGGATTTGGATGTGCCAAAACCTAGCGACCTTCCTCAAAGCTTCTCCTTATATACTAGAAGTAATCTATACTCTGATGGTACCTAATTAGCTGCTCCCAGAAGACTCCACCATGGAGTTGAATCTACCACATCCAATCTCATCAAGGAAAATAACCGTATCCAGCTACCCAGCCATTCAAAACCACAGTCTAGCCAAGTTGACACCCAACCTTAATGCCCTAAAGACCACGGGTCTAGCAAAAGAAAGAAAGAAAGAAAGAAAGAGACAAGTATAAAGCAGTAAGTGCTATACTAATGGAAATACATGTGAGGGATACGTAAATTAGGAAAACCTTCTAGAGGAAAGCCAATCAAGAAAGGTAAGACTTAACCAAACATTCAGTCCTGGGAGAAAGAGTTCATGAAAGAACCTCCTGGTCCATGCTCATGAGGAAAAGGCCCTTGTGTTGGTGATTCAAGGTCGTGTCCATGGTGCCTTCCCAGCCTCCAAAGCCTGTTTGCCCAAGACCTCGCCTTAGAAATTCTGTAAGAAGCTGTGGTGGTGTAGTTTGTAGGCATTTGGGCTGCTAACCAGAATATCAGCCTTCAAACCCACCACCTCCTCTGCAGGAGACAGAAAGAAAGAATTGCGGAATTCGGGTAAGATGGAGGAATAGGCAGAAGGACTGCACAGACTGTCTTCAACAAAGAAAAGGGGAATCAATTAACAAGATACAGAAGATAATCCTGGAACACTGACCTTTGAAAGGAAGGACACAGAAAAGGACAAAACTCAAACTAGTAGAAGAATTTGCACGAAAACACCAAAAAACGAGACATACAGAACTGTGGTCTGGCAGCAATCGCAGTGGCACAAACAGCTTGGATATTTCCGAGTGGAATTAGGACCTAAAAATTAACCTAAAAATCAGCCCTGCTAGCCCTGGACTGCACAGAGGACTGCTTTGGTGGCTGAGGAATAAAAGGGGGAAGCAGCGAAGAGGAAAGAGGAATGCACTCTTGCCTGTCCAGAGGCCACAGCCATTTTGATTGTTTGCAAATAATTTGACCATTTTGGATAATTAAAGCGACTGCGTTCACCCAAATTCCAGGGACATAACAACAGACTCCACTTGCCGGGAAATACAAGGACATCTGGGATGCCAACGACTGGAAGGTTGCCAGTTCTCAGCTTTTTATCTTTTCCCTGTTCTGGTTCCATTTTTTTTTTTTTTTTTCTTTCTCATGGTCAACCCCATTGCTTGTTTTCTTTTTGCATTTTTCCCATTTTTATCTTCATTATTACTGCACTCTATCTTTTGTCTCTTAATTGCCCCCTCCCTAGAAATAAAGAGACTTTTTGCCTTTTTTTTTCTAGTTATTGCTTCTGTGTGATTACACAGTGTGTTTTCTGTCCATTTGATTTTACTTTTCTGATGGATATTCAATTGTTAGTTTTATCCAATTGAGTGGAAGAAAGTAACAGTCCCCATACAACATAACTACACCAACACCTCCTGCAGCTTCATTTAGTGAATGAGAGCCACCACTTCCATCTCCAACAATGGGATGATGATAAAAAACTACTAAGAAGAGCCTGACTCATCCTTAGCTGCTCTTCACAAATAGTTAAAAGAGAGCTAAACTAAACAATGTCACAATGCCTCGGAGACAATATACCATCACAGTCCACACAAAGAAGCAAGATTAAGAGGTAGATACAAGGGAGCAAAATACAGATACTGAACACATCCCTCAGGAAGAAGCAGTATTGGAACTCCCCGATAAGGAATTCAAAAGAATTATATTTAGGTATATTCAAAAGATTGAGAGAAAGATCAAGAAAAGTACTAAGAAAATTAAGGAAAACATATATAAAATCCTAAATAAATTTCAGAAGAAAATAGAAGAACAAAATGACAAAATTAATGAAAAATTAGAACTGATTCTAAATCGACAGACAAAAATCAAGAAGATTAATATAAAATTTTCAGAAATAGATAACACAGTGAACAAGGAAAGGAGTAGAATAGAATCAATGGAAGGCAAAATGAATGAGATGGGAGACAAATACTAGAATACTTCTTTTGAAAGAGATGAATAAGAAAAAAAGATCAAAACAAAATGAAGAGGGACTGAGGTTCATGTAGGATACCATCAAAAGGAATGACTTACATGTCACTGGAATTCCACAAAAGGAAGAGAAAAATAAAACCACTGAGAAAATTGTCCAAGATTTGTTGGAAGAGAACTTCCCTGATATGATGAAAGGTAAGAATATATCCATTAAAAAGTTCAATGAACTGCAAACAGGACAGACTCCAAAAGAAAATCACAAGACATATCATCAGCAAATTCATCAAAACCAAAGACAAAGAAAGGATCTTGAAAC